ACAACTGCAGTCAAGTCGTCTACCTCAGTTCCACGCGGCTGGGGTGTTTTAGTGTCTATGCTTCTGGGCTGCCCTCAGATCCCTTCCTAAAAGTTTAACTTTTAGCGGGTTAAGTGGAAATCCCCACTAAACACTAAACAGCTAAGAAGCTAAGGGGATGGCTGCGAACCACCAAGAATGATTATGAGCCTTTTTATCAGCCTCTTGAGAGCTTTGATTCTTTAATCGAGTGGCCCAATTTAGGGAGGATCCGAGAACAACCTTTTCGGTGGCACACATCAGGAACTTGGTCACTGTTTCAGACCAATTCCCACGAGTGAGGAAGTTGAAGACTCCAAGTCTTTGTTGCACTCTCCCTCTACCACGGCCCCCTCCATTTACAGGGATTTTGCACAAAGGGTTTAAGCACGTTTAAATATGCATACTGTTGATGGACAGAATCCTGCACCACCTAAGAAACCCTGGAAGGATGATTCCATTTCGTCCATCCACAGTAGGGTTGGCCCAACCCGGGCTTGGCCGGCCTGGACTGCCAGGAGTTGCTTCCCAGAAGTCTTGATCCTGCTGAGTTACGTTGCCCCGTTTTTCATGTCCTAAGTCATCCAGTAGAGAGGTTACAAGAAGGGTACCACTTTTTCTGCAGTCTATTTTATTCGGGGCACCCTCCCTGAAAGAAGGAGGGAGGGAAAAGGGCACTTCTGGAGGACCTAGTGTCAAACACCAGCCTCTCTTTGAATACTAAGGGGCCCCCAAGGGGAAAGAATAGCAACTCCAACAACCCACCCAGTAGCCTGGAACCTGATTTCCGCTTTCCTGATTTGAACCATGTTCACGCGAAGACTAGCCAAATGGGGGGGACAATCTTAGGTTGCAGATCCGCTGTGGTTCCGGAACTCTCCGGCAGGTGCAAGTTCCACCAGCCATCTTACTTTTGGTCTTGACAGGGTCAAGGAGAATGGGGCACCGGGTCATGCCGAGCCACATTGTTCTGAACTCGCGTGGCAGGTGGCTGAACCTCTTCCTGCGAGGGTCGATCGAATTGAGGGACTCTCAGATTTCGAGGGGACACATGACAACTCCCCAACACCCGGTCTTGTGGGTATCTAAATAGACAACATAAGTATAGAGATGCTGGTAGACATCAAACATACATGAGGAGTTATGTCCACCAACCACTTTGGAGGGTGCTCCCCGCTAGTTCTGGTCATGTTAGTGAGTCCATGCAGCATCTGCGCATGTTGCAGCTGTTCGGTTTTTCACATCGATTGGCAAACTGGCATCTCAAATTGGCGTGACACGTTTCGTTTTTTGAGCCTGCCCCTTGGTTGGTGGTTTACAGGCAAACCGCAGGAACACCACAACCTTGGGCGTCCCGTTGAACAGAAAAGACACACCCAAATAAATGATGTTTACAAACTTGGGGTTGGTGGGTATCCAATCTTTGAGCCACAGCTACGCAAGCCACTAGAATCAGCTTTGAATGGGTTGCATACCTTCCACATGCTGAACGGCTTTTGGCAGCGAGGGGACTCTGGTTTACACGCCCCTTCAATTCGTGAACTGTAACAAAACGGTTGGAGCTGAAGAAGCAATTGGCCACAAGAACATCTAGTTAGTGCTCTTGGTGGCTTCCTCTCGGAGACAGCCATATGTGAGCTCAAAATGAACCACCCCTTTGGTTTCAATATAAAGGGAAGCCAAATTTAAAGGACCCCTGCTTTGGGAAAAATATTCACCCGAAGATTTGCAACAGTTGCCATAGGGGAGACCCCTTGAGACACATCCATACTGTGGATGGACGAAATCCTGCACTCTTTTAGCTGAACCCCCCAAAATAATGCGTTTCCTTCTGGCGTCCCTTGAACCAAGCTCAAAACGACAACTCTGCAAAAAGTGCTTCACTTTCTGTTGGTCCAATACGGAAAAATCCAGCTGTTCCAACCACAAAGTTCTTCAATCCCAAGATCCGTTCCCAAATCGCCATACTGAAAGCGTTCCCTGCAAAGCTGACGACGCACCGAAGTAAAGAACCTTCACTTCCCTTTGCATAAGCCCCCAGGACAAAAACGAGAAAGTATGTCCAGTAGTGAAATCGATTCCCTTTACACCCAACGAGGGAAAACAAACACAATAGTCATTTCAGCCAATGGAAGTTCATGGGATAAGCCCCGAAGCTCCATGAGCAAGCTCCATCAGACACCTGAGGCGCCGAAGGAAACGGGTTCCCCCAAACGCTGCAAGGGAACACCTACTAGGTCCTCCAGATTTGAGAGGTTAGAATAAGGGTACCCGATGTTTTTTCTGTAGTCTATTCTAGTAGGGGAACCCTCCAACCAAAAAAGGGTAAAGGGGTGAGAAAGGGCACTACTGGGGGACGCAGAAGTGCAATACTCCTCACTTCCGATCTTTCCAGTGGCAAAAATGCAATTAAACTTTTTCTTGCCGCTAAAATGGTCTTTCCAAAGTGTCTAAAGTCCATGAACGCAGGGAGTGAGGTACACAAACAACAACTCAAATGTTGCTTGACAAAAAGGCAAGCAGGCCAAATATGGAACCCGGACATTTGGTGGCTTTCCTTTGGTTTCCCTTTACAACCCAAAAAAGGGCAAACACACACTCCGGAGCCAGCAACACTGCCGAGCTCTCCTTGTCGGCCTTGCCTTTGTGGAGCTTGGCAATCAGCGCCTTCGGAAACCAAATGACCGTCTGGTTGCTGGGAATAAACCTGAACATTCCTTTGAAGGAAACCACAAGAGACAGTTTATGGGGCCATTTCCTCCAGCAAATTACGTAGCCTCCCTATGGCCTTGGAACGGGCTGGTCAAAACGTGGGCCACCCGGTGTCGTTTTGGGACGGCACCTGGTTGGAAGGAAAACCACAACCTGCACCAAGAAAGAGCCTGAAGACGCAGCAGCCGGAGAATTCAGCTTTGCTTCAAGACAGCAAGGGGAATTCAATTGTTTCACTGGATGGAAGAAAAGGGCTACAGTACTCGGTTGCTTTCTGCTCCCCTGCTAAAAGTGACTAACTTTTAGTGGTTTAATGGAACACTTATTAGTTGGCAAAAAGTTACAGTCCTAACATCCAAGCAAAATGCACCAAAGAGTAGACTCTCGAACTACCCTGAACAATGGGTAGTGCATCCGATTTGCTTAGGGCTGATGCAACTTGAGATTTCCGTTCCCCACTGCTCAAAAAATGAGCTCCCGTTCTTACAACTCACATGTCGTTACTTTTTGGGAAATGACTCAGATTCCTGGGGTGTTTATGGGTGTGTCTTTTTAGGGCTCCAAAAACAGTGGTTATCCTTTGGCTTCCCTTAAAACCAACCCCAAAGTCCTGTTTTCTTGGAAACAAACCAGTCCCTGGAAAGACTAGAGCTCTATGCGTCGTGTCGAGGGCGGCTTGTTTTTACGAAGCCTGACGACGGCCCGCAACCGGTCTACTCTGAAGCGTTAAAGCAACCAACAAAAACGCGTATCCCGAAAGCGCTAATCAAACAAACAACCCTATGCCCCGCTTTCTCTGAAGATACGCGGTGAAGCGACGGGGATGAGTGGAGGATACGCACGCTCGCAAACCCAGAGCTGCGGAAACACGTTTTGTGTATTACCCTGGCACGATTAGAACAAACAAATGCGCAAGAGCTGCTTCTGGAAGCACACTCCTCGTTTCTTGCAATGCTTAATTGCAACACCAGACTGCAAACATACTCAGGGTACCACTTGTGTACTTGCAAACAAAGATTGCCACTTTGGTACTCAACAACTGCCGTTTCTGCCACTCGTTCTGCCGAGGTTTAGTCGGCGAGCTTTGAACGGTGCTGTAGCATCCCTCCCAAGCGTTCATCCCGCCGGCGCCCACTGATCCCACGGCAAGGATGTGTTAAGATCTGCCTTGCGGCGAAGCTATTATGTTAAGATGTGCATTGGAGCAAGGCTTTGTTGAGATGTGCTGTGCAGCAAGCTATGTGGAGATATGCTGTGACGCAACACTATGTTGCTTGAGATGTGCTGTTGTGTAATGCGCAGCGATGCTTTGTTGAGACGCGCTCCGCAGCAAGGCTGTTGCGAGATGTGCTGCGCAGCAGGGTTTATTAAAATGTTCTGTGCAGCAAGGCTATGTTGAGGTGTGCTGTGAAGCAAGACATATATTGAGATGCTCTGCGCAAACAGCTATGTTGAGATGAGCTGTGCGGCAAAGCAAACTACCAATAGAGAGGAGTTTGGGTTGGCTCATCCTGAAACAGCAGAAATTGGAGCGATCAGCCCATTAAACCTGGGATGTTTGTGTGAATTTGCATCGAGACATATTCGAGATACATGTGACCTGAGTAGCTAGTCTCTGTTGACCCGGTAGGAGACGGAACAACATACGAGTCGTCTCACTGCTGTGCGTTGGCTTACGATCGCTTCGGAGGGAAACGTATTTTACGCCAAGCAAACGGGATGTTCCCCAAAAGCAGGGGGAGTCTAGCTGGACCCCTCCGAAAGACCAAGGATTAGAAGTTGTGCCCTCCACCCCAAAATAAATAAAGGACCTACAGAACCAAGGGAGACTACAGTTGACATTTGTCCAGGCGCCTTGAGCTCGGTCTTCGCCGCATCCAGCTCATCAACCGTGGCAGCAATGGGCTTCGGCCTGGCGGTTCGAGTGGCACCGCATCATGATTTATCACAGTTTATCACCATCTATCAAAATCCATCATAAATGTTCATCTATCATCTCTAATTTGTGCTTCATAATAATATATCCTTGTTTTTATTACAAGTTGCTGCTTCTCGTCATGCGATGCAGAAAGTGCGAACCTTTGACTCCCAATGGAAGCTGAAAGGTGCAGATGATTCTTCCATTTGCTAAGGATTTCCTGGAACAATGAAACATGTTGCCAGTCGTGAAATCGATTCCCCTGAAAACCAACAAGGGGAAATAAAGCAAATATCCTTCAAATGACAGTATTTGGGGCCTCCCTGTCTTCCATTCTTGGAAAGGTGAGGGACCCAAGCTGGACATTTGAATTCGGCGAGGAAACATGTTGCGCAACCACTTGAGGGCAAGCTCTCAAAGCTCCCAGCCCATCACATACAAAATCTTGGGTTCAGGCCATCTATTCTATTTGGGGGTATGAATTGACCATCCGCCGGGCCCTTTGGTGGACATAAGGCGCCATGAAAATTCGTAGCCATGCATGGCTGTCTCCAAATCTATGTTGTTTCGATGTTTTAAAGCGACCTCTGGAATGTTCCCTTTCTGATTTGCAAGATTACGGTCCCATTTCGAGACAGACTGATTTCTCCCCTTTTTGAAGGGAAAGAATTGCCTCGGTTCGGTTATGAGATATCCCAGCGAGTCAGCGGACGGCTCAAAAACATGGCAGCTCCGCATCGTGTTTCTATGCCTCTGCTTAGCAGAGGCAAGGCCAGTTCATGCAACTCCTTCCATTTGTGCGAGTTGTGAACAACTTGAGGCGCAAACAAGTCATAGTGTTTTAGATTCAACATCATGTGCCTGCTCATGGTATCAAGAGTTGGGACCCAACTGGTTTACCTGCAAAAACCGTCCGCAAAGAGTGGCTTCTGATGTTCGCTCGAGTGTCCTAGTGAGTATGTGACTTTTCCCTGCCTGTCTGCCTTTGGATGCTGACAGGCGCCGGCGAGAATTGGCAAAGATAGCGCATGACAAGGGATACCAAACATGGGTGTCTTTTTTCAATGGACCCCCAAAAATAGTTATTGTCCTTTTGGTTCCCCTTTAGCACCACCAAAAAGGGTACCCTCAAAAGAAAAACCCAGGCATCCCAGGCCCCTTTTCCCAGAAACAAAGCTGTCCAAAGGGCTTGGAACCTGCGCGCTTCCCTGTCTTGGATGTCTAATGGAAAAGTCATCTGGGACATACTACTCATAGGAACCTCTTTTTAATTTGTTTAAATGCGCACTCGTATGGTCCTCCGATGTAACCCGAAGTTAAAGCTACAACCAAAAAACAGCAAGGAAAGGACCAATTCATCATGCGGTCCTGAAACAATTGAAGCAACCCTCTCCTTCTTCCCTCCCTCCCTCTCTCTCTCCCTCCCTCCCTCCCTCCCTCCCTCCTGCACTCTCTCTCTCTCTCTCTGTGTCTCTCTCTCTGTGTCTCTCTCTCTCTGTGTCTCTCTCTCCCTCTCCCTCTCTCTCTCTCTCTGTCTCTCTCTGTCTCTCTCTCTCTCTCTCTCTCTCTGTCTCTCTCTCTCTCTCTGTCTCTCTCTCTCTCTCTCTCTGTCTCTGTCTCTCTCTGTCTGTTTCTCTCTCTCTCCTCTCTCTCTCTGTGGAAGACGGCTCTTTCCTCACATTTTCCTCATGGCCGTGGCTGCTTTGCCTGCAATGTTTAGAGACTAGGCGAGGAAGGGGTCTCAGGGCCATCGAAAATTTGGTTCCTAGCTTTCATTGCATTGCCCTGCTGTACATTTGGCTGAATGCAGAGAGAAGGAGACAAAGAGACAAACAAACAATGAGACAAAGCAACAGAGACATAGAGACAGGAGAAAGAGACAGAGAGACAGATGGACAAGCAGCCGGACGGATGGACAAAACTGATGGACGGACGATCTGACGAACACACAAAAGCCAGGAACCAATCCAAGACGCTTTTTCATCAAAGCATTTGCCCCGCTTCACGCACCCAAATGCTTGAGCATGCAAAACATGTGGGAGCGGATGTGGTGCAAAATGCGCCTTCTCGTTTGCCCACGCACACAGATCCAGGTGAGCCACAATCAGCACAGATCGGTTTTAAAATGGTGTACCCAAAGCAATGAAAGGACTTCAAACGTCGACCGCACCTATGTATGGTTGGGATTGCCCCTCACAGACCTTCATCTACCTGGTTTTGATTGTGGCTCAAGTGGAATGAACCTGTGTTCTACCCTATGGTAGTCCGAGTCCCACATGCCCAGTGCGGGCTGCGGTGAAGCGGATGTGGTGCACAATGGCTCAGGCGCACAGATATCAAAGTGAGCCACGATCAACACCGATCGGTTTTATCATGGTGTACCCCAAGCAATGAACAGACTTCAAACGTCGGCCGCACCTACGTATGGTTGGGATTGCCCCTTACCGACCTTCATCTACCTGGGTTTTGATTGTGGCTCAAGTGGAAAATGTGTTCTACCGTATGGTAGTACGCAAAATGAGTCCCACATGCCCAGCGCCGGCTGCGGAACCGTTGAAGCGGATGTGGTGCCAAATGGCTCAGGCGCACAGATATCACAGTGAGCCATCATCAACACCGATCGGTTTTATCATGGTGTACCCAAAGAAATGAAAAGACTTCAAACTTCGGCCGCGCGGCCGCACCCATGTATTGTTGGGATTGCCCCTTACCAACCTTCATTTACCTGGGTTTTGATTGTGGCTCAAGTGGAAAATGTGTTCTACCCTATGGTAGTACGCAAAATAAAATGAGTCTCGCCTCCAGCAAAACTCGCAAAGCTATGGTGGAGATGCTTTTGCCCTGAGCCCGGCCTGGGTGTGGCCTGGGTCTAGCACAGTGACATCCTCAAAACCCCATGGCACTTTAAAGTGGGGAACTACTGTGCTTGTTCGCACTTTGAAACCAGAGGAAACCAATATTTTTGGTACTTACAGGGGCATCGAATCGTTCAATGATTTCTGAACGGTGGTGTGAACCGGGTTTCGCAACCACCTACATCTTTGAGACCCCCCCCAAGTGCTTTCAGGAACCCAGGCCGGTGGGAAGAAATAACGGGCGCGGTCTCCTCTGACGGTGAGAAACTGTTCGGCCCACTTCATCGTTCTGCAGGGTCACAAAGTGGTTTTCGGAGGATTGCCCTTGTGTATTTGAGCCCCTTGCGCTCGCCTTTGCGTTGACTTGCGCGCCGCGCGCTTTTCGACTTGATCGTTCTTATGAGTTTGTGCCGCAGCCTTCACGGTCGGACCAAATAGGCTTAGAATATGTTACGCGCAGGCTTTTAGCACACGTGGGCTGGAAAAACAACCCCGTGGACTACCCTTGTATCCTTATGCCCCAGTATCGGTCAGTATCGTTTTTTCCTCTGCATCGGTTTGCAGTGTTTTGGCAGCTCTAGCTCGAAAGTCGTGACTTTCAAGTGTAGTATGCGAAGTACACTCTGCCAGCTAGCTCCAGCTGGAAAGTCGCAACTTTTCCGTACAAGTGTAGTACACAAAGTACATTTTGGCAGCTCCAGGGAAGGCTGCAGGGCAGATGGTTGGATTCGGCACGGCGGCCACTGAGTTGGGTGTCGGTTGGGCATCGGTTTGGGTATCGGTTTGGACCCTGCAACTTTATGATGCCGCAATCTTGGTTTGCGACAACAACTTGGACCTGATGTGTGTCTTCATGGCTTCTGGGGGTATCGGTTTTTTCCTCTGTATCGGTTTACAATGGTTTTGGCCTGCGAAACAAGTTAAGCGACGGCCCCTTACATAGCGAAAAGGCGCGGGGTTGCTTTTTCAACCCACGTGTAGTGAGCGAAGTGCACTTTGGCAGCTCCGGCTCGAAAGCCGCAACTTAAGTAAAAATGAAACATGCCAAGAGCACTTCAGCAGCTCCGGCCCGACAGTGGCAACTGTTAAGCACAGGTGTAGTACGCGAAGTACACTTTCGCAGCTCCGGCTCGAAAGTCCAAAATTTCAAGCGCGCGTGTAGTACGCGAAGTACAGTTTTTTGCAGCTCCGGCTCGAAATGCGCAATTTTTAGGTGCACTTGTAGCACGCGAAGTCCAGTGTTTGCAGCTCCGGCTCGAAAGTCGCAACCTTGCAGCGCAGCAAGCCACAAAGCAAACTTTGCCTGCTCCGGCTCGGCAGTCGCAATTTTTAAGCACAAGTGTAGCACACGACGACGCAGCACTCCTGAATTGTCGTGTTTCACTCGTTATCGTTGCGCTACTTCCGAGACAGAACTTGCTGCAACGCTTCTAGCTGGACAAGAAGCTGGTAGGTTTTTCGGTTCCACTGATAAAGTTGTTCTTGCGAACATGCCTATAGCACTGAAAAATGAGGTTTTCGCCCATTACTAGCTGGCTGTCTCTGGCAAGTTCTCGAGTCCTCGATAAATAGCTGTCCGCCGTGGAAACGGGGGGAGGCGAATTTCAAGACTGCCACCAGCAAACATGTTGAAAGTTGTAAGGCCTCAGCAGGGTTCACACTCTTGTCCAATCCTGCCAAATGATCTTGGCAGAAGTAGAAATAATTCAGGAATTGCAGCCGCATGTGCGAGGGCATGTCCGCGCGTAATGTGCAAACGTATGAGTGCGTGTGATTGCGCGCGCACTGGCTTGCCTGCGCGTGCTGTGTGTGTGTGTGTGTGTCTGTGTGTCTGTGTCTGTCTGTCTGTGTGTGTGTGTGTGTGGGTGTGGGTGTGGGTTTGCGTGTGCGTGTGCGTTGGCGTGCGCGTGCGCGTGCGTGTGCGTGCCCGTGTGCGCGTGCGTGTGCGGGTGCGGGTGCGCGTGCGCGTGCGGGTGCGGGTGCGTGAGCGTGTGGGTGTGGGTGTGGGTGTGGGTGTGCGTGCGTGTGTGTGTCTGTGTGAGAGAGTGTGTGTGTGTGTGTGCGCACGTGTGGGTATGCGTGTGCGTGTGCGTGTGCGTGTGCGTGTGCGTGTGCGTGTGCGGTGTGCGTGTGCGTGCGTGAGCGTGTGGGTGTGGGTGTGGGTGTGGGTGTGTGCGTGTGCGTGTGTGTGTGTGCGCGTGTGTATGCGTGTGCGGTGCGTGTGCGTGTGCGTGTGCGTGTGCGTGTGCGTGTGCGTGTGCGTGTGCGTGCGTGTGCGTGTGCGTGTGCGTGTGCGTGTGCGTGTGCGTGTGCGTGTGGCGTGTGTGCGCGTGTGCGTGTGCGTGTGCGTGTGCTTGTGCGTGTGCGTGTGTGCGTGTGCGTGTGCATGTGCGTGTGCGTGTGCGTGTGCGTGTGCGTGTGCGTGTGCGTGTGCGTGTGCGTGTGCGTGTGCGTGTGCGTGTGCGTGTGCGTGCGCGATCTGCGTCTGCGTCTGCGT